TTCTTGCTTTCTTTCTGGCTTTCTTTCTTCTATATTGATTTACACATGTTCCGCTTCCTCTGAACTGACTGGATGAGGCCTTTTTATTATTTTTTTTAAAGAAACATTATGAAAGGATTTTAAACACAATCAAATATTTGGTATGTAGAGAGAAATATCAGTGCTGTTATACGCGGACTCGAAAACTCCCGCGCGGCGCTGTCTCTATCTTTCCCCACTTTCTCTAATACTAAAAAAAAAAAAAAAAAAATAGAAAAGAAAGAATGAATGAAAGATAAAAAGAAAAGAAAAACACGGTTTACGATTGCTTTAAGACAATCTATGAACACCAGAACGAAAAACCAAACTAAAAAAAAACAGTAGATTTCACCCCTCTCTAATCTTTGTCTTTCTTTCTTTCTCTCTCCCTCCCTGCCTCTCCCCCTCTCTTTCTCTCTTCTAGTTGTCATCTATCCATCCGTACATCCATCCAGTCATCCAACCAGGCAGCTCTCGGAACAAACAACTGGCGACGCAGTCGGCTCGTCCTTTCTTTCTTTTGTATGTGTGTCCGTCCCTTTTGGTCAAATACTGACCCTTTCCACTGTGATCATTTTACAATTACCTACCAACCAACTTGTTTATATTTACCTGGCGTGTTTTCGACTTGCTTTCTACCTTCATTTTTTTTTCTTTCTTTCTTTTTTGTTTCTCTCCCCTTCTTATTGGGATGTGACAAAACATCGTATTTCAGAATTTCCAACCAGATTTATACAATTCGGAACTCTTTCTGTCTCCTTCATTTGGCTTTACGGATTCATCCGGGTACTTACACACCAAATAGGAGCTCAGAGAAATATTTTATAAAACAAGGAAAACAGTTCTGACAACGTTGTGTATAGAAGACAAAAAGGTATTTAAACAAAAAAAAGGATATTGGAAAATCTAATCTTAAAAACAACAAACAAAATATAACAACAAAAAAAAAAACAAAACTATTTTATATAGAGAGAGATTTAAATAAAAAAAAAAGAAAAAAGAAATATTACTGGCATTTCTTCTTTTTCACCTATCGTTGAAAAGAGGAGGTGCGGGTCGGCGCCTACCTCAAAAACACCCGCAAAGCGGGACCTTTTAACTACGGTCGTCTCGGGCGACCAAGGTCTGGGGCGATCTGGCCGGAGAGTTTAAAGTGGCGGTAGCAACGGCTATAGCAGTGGTAGGGGCCGGCATGAATGGGCTCCGTTCCCATCCGCTCCACCACCACCCACACCACCAACAACAACAGCATCAACACCACCAACACCAAGCCCAGCACCATCATCCACATCATCAGCAGCAACAACACCCAGCTGCTTCGCAACACCATCACCACCATCAACAACAACAACAACAACATCACCACCAACAACAACAGCAACAACAACAACAACAACAACAAGAGTCCATAGCTCTTCATCATGGTATTACACACATCCCCCCATTATCGCTCCCTCCCCCGTTGCCGCCGCCTCCGCCGTCACTGCCCCCGTCAACCACGCCGGTATCGTCAACACCTGCAACTTCATTGGCCACGGGTCACTATTCACCCCCCTTTCGGAATGTGGATCGGTTACGTTGCATGAATACTGGGACGCTTACGGTAGGTATTTCACCTACAAAGTTGAAACCCCCAACCCCCGACATTAAAAAAAAAACAAAAAAAAAAAAACAAAAGATGAGGGACCTACTGGTCGGTATAGTAAACATTACTGTTTTTTTTGTTTTTGTTTTTTATTACACAAGACATCATAACTTATTCGATAATTTTGTTTTTATGTTTACATATGTACAGGTAATTTATAAAGAAAGACCGTTTGAAATTTAAAATATTGAAAATCAGCTGCAATTTTTTTTCGAAAAGGAATCGTATTACCCTTTGTATGCGTAATGATTGTGTATATGTTGTAAAAGAAAATTGTTTTCTTTTCCTTTTAACAGATTAATTCTATCATGTACAGTTGCAAAATTAGAAATATTTCAAACTGCACACAGATTTTATAAATTTCCTGTATATAAACAACAGGAACTAATCGGAAATATATATTTTAAGATAGTTTTTATTTTGATAGAATTTAGAAAAAGGGCTTAAAATAGTCTTTTTAAATCAAGTCATCATTTAAAAAGGAGAATTAATTAACATATATAAATTCTTTCTTTATCTTGAAACAATCCCCTACGTGCGTTGGCAACCTGAGAACCACACATATATATATATATATTCTGTTCTTTATATAGGAAAGAAAAGCTGAGGGTCATTTCTACGAATAAATACACATCCTTTTACTGTTATTTGAATTTTTACAATTGCTTTAATTCTCTCTATCTATTTTTCATGTCTATAAAGTTTGTATTTGGCTCGCATTTCACAAATATGCGCATACACGCTCCTATACATTTTACGCACATACACTATCTATCTATCTATCTATCTATCTATCCGTTTGTCTATAAAACCATCGAGTCTTTCTTTGGTTATTGAGTTAGACAGGCGTATGTACGTAAGTGATTATATGAATCAGTTTAAATATCCTCACTGGGTGCCGCATAATTTCGGACTTGTGTCACATCTAAACTACACTTGGAAAATCACAATAAAGAATATATTGTTTTACACATTCATACACACACAAACACATACACACACACGTATATATATATATATATATATATATATATATATATATATATATATATATATATATATAATATATAAAGAAAAGAAAAGAACAGTAAGATATATAATCCGGTGTTCTTATAGGTATTTTTATTTTTACAAAATAGTGCTCGATGTAAATTTACAGAGCATTAATATTATAAATTAATTGATTTAAAATATGGTTTTTTCCGCTACACAGATCTAACCATGTTTCAAAAATGGAAGCTAAAAGCCACTAATTTAATTTTGCAATTAAATTAAAGACATTAGTTCCATTTCATCCTCAAGCGAATTTTGGAGTAACTTTTAAAATTACTGGGTTTTAAAGACACAGCTAAAATCACGTTTCCATGGTTACAGATAAATCTACTTCAAACAAGGGGTGTCTGGGTTTTCCTTATGTCTGTATCATTGTATCGGTTATTAGCTACATTTTGGTAAGGGATAGGGATTTATCTTTCAATGAAATCTGACATCCGTTGAATGCATGTCGTCTGGATTTTTTTTAAATTTATTGTTAACGGCAAAAAAATTCTTACGGCATTTTTTTCTATTTGTAAATTTAAAGATTTTCGCGGGTGTTCAGATTATATATATATATATAGGTATTAATGTGTATAAATCAAATAACTAGATATTAGCAACCGTATATACGTGCTTTAGCGTGCATACACAGGTAAGCGAATAAATATTTACTCAATATTATAAGGTGTAAACAAAAGAGTGCTCAATGTGATTAGACAGAGCTAAGAAGTATATATTAATAAATATACATGCACGTACGTTCGAAATGCAACTTAAAGTTTCGTTGTTCTACCAACTCATCTGGCACGAATTATTAATTATGATTTTAAAAAATATACTGGGTCTCATGGAAGGAACGCTAAATTAAACGCAGATTCAAACTTCAAATTTAATATAAACTTTATCTTATATATATATATATATATATATATATATATATATATATAAAATTATGTATTTGGGCAGCAATTCCTCTTTGATACAAGCTTCGTCAAATACAACTGACAAAGCACTAAGATTATTTTTTTATTTAAATTTTCTTGTGTTCTTATAAATTAATTCTTTTCATAACATACATCATAACAGGTATAATATATTTTTCTGGACATTATATATATATATATATATATATATATATATATATATATATATATATATATATATATTACTACAAATGTTGTTATTGGACACAACGTTTGAAGTAATATAAATGGCGGATTAAAATAAATCCATTAATTCTTTAGAAATATATATATTTATCTCTCTCTCTGTGTCTCTGTGTTTCTCCCTATCTATTTTCTATCTATATTTTTTTATTTTATTTTATTTTGATTCTCATCTATTTAATCTATCTACCTATTAGGAGACTTTTTTTTGATATTTTTTTTTATTTTTTTTTTCTTTCAATTACTCGAATTTTGATTTTGATTGTATCTCCCCGTCATTAATCCGCAAAAAACGTCTATTTAATTTGTTATGCTTGAAAAATGCGATTAATATAAATCTTTGAATTAAGTGCATTGACAACCAAGTAGATTATGTTGAAAAATAATTATATCCTTATACTTTTTCGTTATTAGGTTACGAATTTATTGATGGATTTAATATATGCATGTTTATCGCTTTTTGATAAACAACTTGAATTTTGTTATTTTATTTTTTTTTTATTATTATTATTTCAATTACTCTTGAATTAAATCTTGATATAAAAATGATGGCAGTTTTGTTGAGCTCTAAAAACTTGGCCTGAATACCAATTTTCCCTAAGCCTGTTTTTTCAGTTTTCTATCTCCCAAGATTTTTTTTTCTATGTTCCATGATTTCTTCAGCCCTCTCCCAGTATTTTTCTATCTTTTCAGTTTCTTTGAAATCTACTCTTTTATCTTATGGAACAACACAGGCAATCCGCATTCTCTTTATATATACTGACATTATCTGTCTGAACGTCATATAATATAACTTATTATTATTTTTGTTTTTATTTCCTGCTCCCGCCTAAAGGCTTAAATTTAGATATATATATATATATATATATATATATATATATATATATATATATATATATATATATATATATATATATTACATAGATAAAAAAATCTGTAATTTAGGAACTTTTTTGTTTTCTTTGAGGCATGGGCTTGAAAATTAGTCTACTGCAATATTTTCGATTCCTAGGGCTCCAACTACAATATAAATTTCGATTTGAATTATTTGTGAATTGTTGGAAAGTGACATTGACAAGGAGAGACCAATCACAAGAACAACAAAAAAGAGATTTGTGTATGTTGAAAACTGGATTATATCCTTATTCAGTCTTTTCGTTATTAGGTTTTCTACGAAACTTAAAAATTGATGGATTTTGGGGACCTATATGCATGTTTATTCAAAGTGGGGTGGTTCTTCTTCACCACTATTATATATCTGCAGGTGTCTGGGCTGTCAAACAACCTTGAATATTTTATATTTATTATATATATATATATATATATATATATTATTATATATTATTATTATTATGTTATATGTCTTAAAATGCATCAGAAAAGAAATACCAGGAATAACGTTCATATCTTTTACTTATTTGTCTAGTCTGTGAGTGAAAATGTGTTTGTAGATGAATCTATATGCGTCAATAGAAATTATGACTATATGGTGTCATAAAATGACTTTTAGATCCCTATTACAATGAAAATTCTTTTTACTCTGCATTCAGTTTTAGGAATCGTGAAACGCTTTTTGCTTATTTATATTTACGTTCTTCCAACAATGGAGAATTTCTTTTAGTAATTTCGAAGAATCGACTAAAAAGCCACCACATACAAAAGCATAAATTTTGATTTGAATATGCAGTTTTATTGAGATATCTCAATAAAAATATACATAGAATAAAAGGCTATATAATATACATAATATATACATATGTATAGACCAATTTTCCCTACATTTTAGCCTTTGTTCACAATGTTTTTCAGTTATTATGTGTCATGTAAAAATAGCGTTGTTATGAAATGTATGATTGCTTAAACTGTCTTATTTATAATCAGAAAAATTATTAGAACTACTTTTTTATTTAATACGACGTCTTATCACATTCATTACTCGAGATTTGCATGTTATTAAACACATTCATTCTATTTGTACAAATTCTGATACTCCACGTATATACTATTTTTTTCTATCTTTTTTCAAGTTTCTTTTGCGGCAAAAAGAAGTCTGCCAGGAATCTTTTTATCTTATGGAACATTTTTTTTTTGTATCATACCCAGTGCCTTTAATTATTATAGGTATAATAGTAGTTATAAATTGACATATTTTTTTTTCTTTTGTAATTTAAATTTCTACTTATTTTGTCATATTCTTTAATAGATTTACTTTTTATTTGATATCACTGTTATATCTAGGAGAAATCATTTGATATCACTGTTATATCTAGGAGAAATCATTTGATATCACTGTTATATCTAGGAGAAATCATTTGATATCACTGTTATATCTAGGAGAAATCATTTATTAGACTTTAATTCCAATGTTTATCCTATTAGAAGATTATTATTATTATTATTATTATTATTATTATTATTATTATTATTATTATATTATTATCGTTGATTTCTGTTGTATACACATTACTTTCTGGATCCCAAACAGATCATTAATAAACAAACAAACAAAAAAACAAAAAAATACAAAAAAAAAAATCAAACACATTTTACATCGATAAATTTCTTCGAACTGTGTGAGTTGTACATGCGAGTACAATTTTTTTGTATTTCTTTAAGGCATGGGATACCGGAAATCCCTTTAATGAGTCTATTGGAACCTTTTCCAATCAATCCGAGGACTCCAACAACAACTGGAATTACTGATGTCCTTATTTATTATTATTATTATTATTATTATTATTGAGTGTCTACACTAGCTTTAAATAGTGGCTTAAACCATAAATTTAGTGAGAATGAGTCTCCTTAGTATTCTACGTTTTTCAGAAGAAAAAAATAGACTCCACTCTTTTTCGAATTTCAATTCCTCCAGCCTTTTAGACACTTCGGGACCATTCCTATTATTATTATTATTATTATTATTATTAGTAGTAGTAGTAGTAGTAGTAGTGGTGGTGGTGGTGGTGGTGGTGGTGGTGGTGGTATTGTAAAACGTTTCCTTTACGCGTCTGTGTATTTAACACTTGAAAACAATTTAGGTAACTTTGTTCTGAATTGAATTATTGTAAATTCTTTAAAAGACGACAGAATCGTAAGTAAGTGAAAATAAACAATTCCTGTAATACTTATACAGGGGTTCAGTAAAAATTTCTATAATAAATGATGACATTATTCTGGCAAGTCTTGAGAAGTTATCGCGAATTTTGGCGTTGGATTATTTATTTTGTTCTTTCTCGATATTCAATTTCTACATAACAGTACCCTAAGACCACTTATCTCCAGAGCAGGAATCAATTAAATAAACAAAGAACATCTTGAGAATGAAATTATTACTTAATTTTAATGACTGATACGAACATATTTCAAGTTAGAATAATCCTCTTTAAACCGATAGACTTTTATTAATTTCCTATCCGTTCCGAAATATACTTTAAATATGATTTCTTTAAATGGTAAAATAAAAGGTAAGCATCATGACAAACAGAGTTTTTGATAGTTCCAAAATATCTTCAGGTAATTTGATGAGACAATTTTAAAATTATTCCATAGCCGATTAATGAATGTCTCGAAATATCTGAATTACTGTTTCAATACATTCAAAGCGTATATTATTTAGAAAGCATATGAGAGTCTTTT